TGCTCGAACTCAAAGGGTGATATCCCAATAGTCGGGTGGATGGAAGAGTTGTAGGCCAACTCGACGTCCGGCAGTCGCACAATCCAGTCTTTCTGGTCGGGTCGGATGAGAGTGCGAAGAACAACCTGTGCGGTCTGATGCGCCCTCTCCGTCTGGCCATCGATCTGAGGGTGGGGAGATGAACTRGGCTTGAGAGATGAGCCCCATCGCTTGATGAGCGCCAACCAAAAATCGKACATRAACCGAGTGTCGCGGTCGCAGACGATCTCCTTGGGGTAACCCTTGGTTCGAATCCAACCGGCGTAAAGAACCTCGGCCAACTCCGGTGCCTTGGCATGATAGCGACAAGGCAAAAACATGGCGAACTTGGTGAGTCGGTCGACCACCGTAAGAATCTCATCCACTCCGGTCTTGTGCTTGGGGGGGGAACGGGCCGGTAATGTCCATGGCAATCGCTTCCCTTTGCCTCAACGGGACTGGCAATGGTTGTAACTCGCCGTACGGACGATGGTTGTGGGATTTGCAGCGTCGGCAAACCTCGCATGACTCGCAATAGCTCGTGACGTTGCCGAGAAGGCCGGACCACCAAAATCGCTGGCGAAGTCGGCCAATCGTGCGATTGACTCCAAAGTGTCCGGTGGCGGGAGCATCGTGGAACTTGCCAAGAAGCCGTGTACGCAAGTGAGGATAACTTGGTAAGCGAAGAAGGTCCTTCCCCCGCGTGTGGACAAGCAAGTACCCCTTTTGGATCCGGTAGTGAGAAGGAGACGGATTAGGAGAGGAGCAATTCGCGTACTTATCGCGAAACTCGGGGTCGGCTTGGTAGTCGCGGATGAAACTGTTCCACAGGTTGTCGTCGATCTCGAAGGTTGAGTAGATTGCGATACAATGATCCGGACGCCGTGAAAGAGCATCCTCAAAATGGTTGGACTTCCCGGGAATGTGATCGGGAAAGAAGTCGAACTGGTCGATGAAAGCCATCCATCGAGCGATGGTGCTGTTAACGGTGTCTTGGGTCTTGTACAAGATAACGGATTATTGTCCGTTACCCAGCGAAATTGGCTTCGACCAAGGAGGAAGTGCCGCCACCGCTTGAGCGCATGGACGAACGCAGGAGCTCCTTCTTGCGTGCATCATCAATGGAATGCACGATGGGCACTTTCTTGCTGAAGAATTCGACCGGGTGCCAGTCCACACCGTCATGTTGCTCGAGGACTGCACCAATGCCATAGCCTGACGCATCCGTAGTGACGCGCGTAGGCAGACGCGGGTCGTATATCCGCAAGACCTCCGCAGACAATAGCGCGGCTTTGAGGGCGAAGAATGATCCCCGCGCCTCCTCTCCGAAGTCAAACGGCCGATCCTCGCATTGAAGCTTGTTCAAGTGGGCCGCGATCTTCGAGTAGCCTTTNGCGGGCGCTACGATCGGCCAAGGCCCCATCCATTTCGGAAGGAGCTTGCGAGAGATGTCTTGTTCAAGGCTGAATTCCGCTGCGGAAACCCAAACGAGGTCACCGCTGCGGAATGGACAAGGAAGACGCTCGCGATTAACTTGCTGACTCATGCGCTGTTGCGTCTTAGCCATCTGGTCGCGTGCCTTGACAAGAAGCTCTTGCATCCGACGCAAGAAAAGAAGATGGTCGTYGCTCTCGGTCGTGCGTGGAGTAATAGTGTCCAACGGTGACGTGACCGGCGAGCCGTGCTCGAACTCAAAGGGTGATATCCCAATAGTCGGGTGGATGGAAGAGTTGTAGGCCAACTCGACGTCCGACAGTCGCACAATCCAGTCTTTCTGGTCGGGGCGGATGAGAGTGCGAAGAACAACCTGTGCGGTCTGATGCGCCCTCTCCGTCTGGCCTTCGGTCTGAGGGTGGCGAGCTGAACTGGGCTTGAGAGATGAGCCCCATCGCTTGATGAGCGCCAACCAAAAATCGGACATAAACCGAGTGTCGCCGTCACAGACGATCTCCTTGGGGTAACCCTTGGTTCGAATCCAACCGGCGTAAAGAACCTCGGCCAACTCCGGTGCCTTGGCATGATAGCGACAAGGCAAAAACATGGCAAACTTGGTGAGTCGGTCGACCACCGTAAGAATCTCATCCACTCCGGTCTTGTGCTTGGGGAACGGGCCGGTAATGTCCATGGCAATCGCTTCCCTTTGCCTCAACGGGACTGGAAATGGTCGTAACTCGCTGTACGGACGATGGTTGTGGGATTTGCAGCGTCGGCAAACCTCGCATGACTCGCAATAGCTCGTGACGTCGCCGAGAAGGCCGGGCCACCAAAATCGCTGGCGAAGTCGGCCAATCGTGCGATTGACTCCAAAGTGTCCGGTGGCGGGAGCATCGTTGAACTCGCCAAGAAGCCGTGTACGCAAGTGAGGATCACTTGGTACGCGAAGAAGGTCCTTCCCCCGCGTGTGGACAAGCAAGTACCCCTTTTGGATTCGGTAGTGAGAAAGAGACGGATTAGGAGAGGAGCAATTCGCGTACTTGTCGCGAAACTCGGGGTCGGCTTGGTAGCCACGGATGAAACTGTTCCACAGGTTGTCGTCGATCTCGAAGAATGAGTAGACTGCGATACAATGATCCCGGCGCCGTGAAAGAGCATCCGCAAAACGGTTGGACTTCCCGGGAATGTGATCGGGAAAGAAGTCGAACTGGTCGATGAAAGCCATCCATCGAGCGATGGTGCTGTTGACGGTGTCTTGGGTCTTGTACAAGACCAACGGATTGTTGTCCGTTACCCAGCGAAATTGGCTTCGACCAAGGAGGAAGTGCCGCCACCGCTTGAGCGCGTGGAGGAATGCGAGGAGCTCCTTCTTGCATGCATCATCAATGGAATGCACGATGGGCACTTTCTTGCTGTAGTATTCGACCGGGTGCCAGTCCACACCGTCATGTTGCTCGAGGACTACACCAATGCCATAGCCTGACGCATCCGTAGTGACGCGCGTAGGCAAGAGCGGGTCGTTTATCCGCAAGACCTCCGCAGACAATAGCGCGGCTTTGAGAGCGAAGAATGATCCCCACGCCTCCTCTCCGAAGTCAAACGGCCGATCCTCGCATTGAAGCTTGTTCAAGTGGGCCGCGATCTTCGAGTAGCCTTTGATGAAGCGCTGATAGAAGCCGGCGAGACCGAGGAACGAGCGGACATCCGTGACGTTCCGAGGCTTCGGTCACTCTTGGACGACCTGAATCTTGTCCGATAGTGGACTGATGCCCTCCGGTGTGATGAAATGGCCCAAGTATTCCAGGTCCTGCCGGACAAATTCACACTTGTCGTGGTTGGCCTTGTACTTGGCGCGGCGGAGCGTCTCCAACACTCATCGATGCCCAAAATGATCCTTTAATGACCGGCTATAGACGAGAATATCGTCTAAGTAGAGCAGCACGAACTGGTCCAACATTAGACGAAATTCATTGGTCATTGCCGCCTGAAAGGTCGCCGGGGCGTTGGTGAGGCCAAAAGGCATGACCACACACTCGAAATGCCCGTACCGCGTCTTGAACGAGGTCTTGTGGTGGTCGTTCGGCTGGATCGAGATTTGATGATATCGTGATTTCAAATCCAACTTGGAAAAATATTTTGCGCCGCCCAATCGCTCAAGAAGATCGTCGATGCGAGGGAGAGGCCCCGCATTCTTGACGGTTTGCGCGTTGAGCTTGCGGTAGTCGATACACAATCGTAGATCCTTGTTCTTCTTCCTGACGAAGAGAACTGGTGCTCCATATGGGGAGCTACTTGGGCGGATCCAGCCCTTGGCCAACGGATCATCGAGTTGTGCGCGGAGTACCTCAAGCTCCTCCTCGCTCATCCRATAGATGCAACCTTTCGGCGGCACRGCACCGGCCWCARGAATGATCTCGTGAGAGATCGGCCGACCCGGCACCACACCGGTAGGKGACTCGAAGATGTCGGCGAACTCGTCCAGCAACCGTACCTCACGGGGGTCCGAAGACAAGTCCGTGGGTGAAGAGTCGGCTACCGCGACGGTCCATAGGAAACATATGCCGATCTCCTCGGGCTGCTCGTAAGCACAAGTCGCCCGGACTGATTCAGCCGTCAGCACTTGGCACCGGATCGAAGAGTGCGGTAGAGGAATCGTACCCGCCACTTCCGCGCCGAATGCGTCGCGAACGCTAAGAGTCCGCCGATGGAAGTTGACCGTGTGATCCGCACTTGCAAGCCAAGGCATTCCCAGAATGATGTCGAAGTCCGTGTCGAGAATATCGAATGTCACCGGTTCGCATGCATGAGCTGCGAAGATGACCGGTACGGCCTCGATGTAMCGGTCGAGTAGTTGCTGCGTCTTTCCATCCGCCAACTTGATCGCCGTCGGGTTTGTCTTTCTTCGAACTTGTGCGCCAAGGCCAGCTCTTTGCATAAAAGACTGGCTCATGAAGTTGCGAGTCGCGCCGCTATCCAGCAAAGCGTTGCAGGACGCTTGCCCAACCTGGATGCGAACATACATGAGCGGTGCATTGTTGTTATCGTACCGCTGCGTGCGAAACTCGCGGGCCACCTTGGTAACGTACGCCAGGATGTCCCCCACCGCGACTTCGTCATCCGTTGGCGAAGTTGGTGGTGCATAGAAGGAAAGGTAAGTGTGGAGATAAGCTAAGTGCTGCGCATTGCGGTCCCGGCAAACAGCCTGTGGTCGGGAGAGGAAGCCATGCAAAGTCCTCAGACGTGAGCGGGTCCAAAACCTCTATCTTGAACTCGCGCGCCGAGTCCCGTGACGAACCACTTGAAGACCATATGTCGCTGTTGCCGGACGGAGAAGAAACCGCACACACTCCTTGTCCTTGAGCTTGAGTACCGAGCGTTGGAACGAGCCGGGCAGCATAGTCCTCAAAAGAAAGTAGAAGCGGAGGACTGTCGACTTCCGCGTGCGCCTCGGAATGAAGGCTGGTCCCTCGCGAAGAAACCAGTTCCGAAGGCGTCGAGAGTGTCGTCGCATCACTCTCGGCGGTGCTCAGTTTCCCTGTCGACCCTTGCCCTTTAGTGGGCAAACCGGCGTCAGATGAAGATCGTTGTTGCACCACAGGCAATAATGGAATCTCTCGCGCGCCTTGAAGGCGGACTCGGAGATGCCGTACGGGGTCTATGGGCCTGTCTGAGCTGCTGCACCGGGCCCGGGGGTAGAAATGGTGTGTGTCTTCGGCTTGCCACGACCTCGGCCTCTGCCGGGGCGGCCACCTTCCCGGGCGGCTGCGAATTTGTCTCCGTCATTGGCAGACGCAACCTCGTTTAATGGTCTAATGGAGCTGCTGCTGCGACCACAGCCACTCGTGGCCGATGCTGGTTCCCGCTCGGGCCTGACGCAGATGAATGGAGGTTCTTGGCCTCCTTGTTCGTAACGATGATCTGCGCAGCCTTGTCGAATAATTCCGCCGTCGTCATCAAGGTGTCCTCGACATGCGTCAGGTCATTGCTCAATGCCGGACATGACCTTGAGATGAAATAGTGGCGGATGGCTTTGAAGCCCATCTGGATGTCTGGGACTGACGTTAAGCGTTGGTACTCAGCGATCCAGTCCATACTCGGCGATCCAGTCCATACTCGGCGATCCAGTCCATACTCGGCAGCGAGCCTTGCTCGAAGACCATAAGCTTGTCCATGGCTTTGATCTCTGGCGGCTCTACCTGGAACCGCTTGTGCCACACCGCCTTCAGATCATCCCAGCTGATCATGGTGTGCAAGTCCGCTGCTACCACTCCGTACTTGGMCAACAAGTTGTCCAACCACGCCTGACACGCGCCCCCTGAGCGAGAGTACAAGTAAGCGTGGTGCTTGTTTTCCTTGACSTTGTGGAGCTGCAGCGTGAGCTCGAACTTGCGAAACCATGGAATTGGATCTGTCTTGATTGAGTCGTGGAAGATCTCCTGCCCATCGAACTTAGGAGCTGTCTCGCGCGGCTCCGGACTCGAAGTAGTGGAGGTAGTGCAGATCCGCTGCTGCAATTGTTGCGTCGCGGTCTGCTGTAATTGTGCGCCATCTTGGAGGGAGTCGACGCGCATCTCCAATGTGGTGAGGCGGTCGGCAGAGTTGGAAGAGCCTGCATCGGCGGCGGCGACTGGTCGCTGCTCCACCCGCTGAAGGCGGTCTTGGAGATGAGCTACCGAGTTGTCGAGAGCAAGGATCTCCGCCTACTGTGTAATGCAGGTTGCCAGGAGATCCGTGAGATGCGAGAGGAGGAGCGCTATCTTGTTTGCGCTATCCTCCAACTGGCTATTATCGGCCTCGCTTCGCCATTCTGCTGCCATGGTAAGTAATGCCCGCTCTCCGGTGAATATCTTCTCACGACGCTGTGTTCTTTCTTCATCGGCAGCCCTTGCTGCTGCCTCGTCGTGCTGGCGCTGTTGTTCAAGTGCCAGCAGACGTGCCTGCTCGGCATCCTCGGCCTTCTTCTTCGCTGCTGCTGCAGCGTCATCTGCCCGTTTCTTTGTCTCGGTACTCCAGGCCAGCATGCGGGCCTGATAGGCCTGGTCTGCTTCCCCGGGCCTCTAGTCCATGACTGCTGTTTGAGATCGCAACAGCATAGACCGGGCGGGGGCCTGTTGATGTGGTATCCCTTGCTGTTGACGTGGCACTGCTGACGTGTCCTGCTGACGTGGTCTGCTGACGTGGTCTACTGACGTGGTCTGCTGATGTGGCCTGCTGACGTGGCAACTCACCAATGCCACCGCGGGGGGTACCCGGATACCAACAGAAACGGAAAGGCGAGAGATGGCAACAACATAGGTGGGGAGGGGTGGGTGGGATAATCGCCCGACCAATCACTTAGATAAGGAGCCACTAATCAAACAAGAAAAGTTCGAACTTTACAAAAAATTTCGAGAAAAATAATTAAAAAATCCCGATTTCCCCAAGTTCGGTAGGTCTCCCAACCTCCCTTGAAGTGCGAAATGATCACTGAAAAAAAAATCGACTTTAGACTGCCAATGATTTATAGAACTGAACGACAGAATCCCAGAACTGCGAAAGAAATTCCGAACCGAAATGATAAATATTCGAATTTATTCCGATGAGAATATTCGCAGTTTGGAAAATAATACTGCAGGAGGTATTTCCCGTACCGTTTTCAACAAAGGAATTTCAGAAAAGAAAATATTCCGAATTTCTAAGTAAC